CGTTAATAGTGGGCGCTTGAACAAAGTGGGCGCTTCAGCGGTATACTGCCATAAAATATTACGATTTTAATTTATAGCAGCTTGTTTTCATCCACGTTTAACTACTGTCATTTAGTCTGGGCACTCACAACGCAAGAAACCTTACATAAAATTCAAGCTCTGCAAAAACGGTTCCCAAGAGTTGTAGATAATGTTCCTTCTTACTTCCACACACATAAATTGTTCATAAAATATAATGTATTACCAACCCAAAAAATGTGTGACTATCGGCTTTGTAAAGCACTAGAGAAGAGGTCATAACTAAATAACTGTTCTTAAAAGAACTAGCTAACTTGCAACGTAATACTATTGCCTCCACAATGTGTCATAGTGAGTCTTGGGAAAGTTAGCACTCGTAGAACAATCTACGGGCAGGCTATGCTGAAAAACAAACTGCCAAGATTACTAAATTGATTAAATGACGAAAATATTGATGAGATACACATCACGTTCAAAACATTGCATAGTTATTTCAGCCCCCAATCTAGTTCTCTAGTGAAAAAGAAACAAAAAAACATAATATTAGTAAATTTTTGGGCGTTGTTGTGCATATGTAGCCTCTTCTCTTTTTAGAGCGCAGCTTTTAGGCGCCCGTTTACGGCTTGAGCGGTGGCGCCGTCGGCGTAATTGCAGAGTGCATTATGGGACGTTTTCCATTAAGACGTCACTCATGACGTCACGTGTGACATCACGAGGGTCACTAGGGTCACGAGTGAAGTCACGAAGGTTGTGACATCATTATGGGAAACGTCCCACAATTCACCGCGCATGACGTCACAAAGTTCGCTTGTGAAGGTCACGACCATCACTAGTGAAAATTGTGAAGGTCACGACCTTCACGAGTGAAAACTGTGAAGGCCTCGTGAAGGTCACAACCTTCACAATGACATCACAAGGGTGGAGGGAGGGAGGGGAGGAGGAAATGAGGTGTAGGGGAGAATAAAAGGGAGGAGGATGGAGGAGGGGCATACCCTCCTCTCCGTACCCTCCCCCTCAAGAGCTGCACTCTCACTTGGCATTACAGGGAACTGTAGAGGTCTAGTCTTTTTTTTTTACTTGACTACGCCTTAATAGGTATTTTTCTCGTGCGGAACTGTCTATGTTCATTGTTACTCCCCCCCCCCCCCCCCCCCCTTTGTTTTTTATGTTTACTTCTGTTAATGCTGAAAATAGTATTGTGTTTAGTGCTGCAGAAATGCCAATGCAGGGTCCTGTGGCTTTGTCAAGCTGTCCTGACAGCTTTTTCCACAAGCGTCCAGTATCTTGTATGTTGCACTTGAAGCAAAAATAAACATCAAACATAAAGACAATGCCTTCCTTGCTTTCCCACTTCTGTGTAAGCAATGGTTAGCATCCGCTGCTCACCAAGTTTCATCTCCCCAAACACTCAACCAGCTGTATAGTGCTTAAAAAGCACCAGAATCACAAGTAGAATGTTACAACAAAAATCATTCTTTCCATTATAACAAAGTCAATTCCAGCAATCACTTTTGAAACATATGCTGACTGATGAAGGACATAGCATAAACATCTATGAGTTGTCATTATAAGTGTCAAATCAGACGTTAACCGGATAGTATTCAAGTGAAATGTTTGAACAGTTCTGAACATTGAATTGAATGTTTTGTTAAAGTTTTGAAGGTATTAAATTATGCATTAGGTTATAATGAAATTATGCATTTTAATGGAGTTAAAAACCAAGCATTTGGCATTTAATTATGCACATCAATGGAATTTTACATGTAGAGTTTTATAATGTTAAATCAGTGTGCGAGCAATAGATATGCCTCCTTAAAAATAAAAGCAGGAAGTATTTCCATGTCCACCGTCAAAATATCTAAAAAAAAAAAAAGAAAAAAAATTTCCATGTCTACGACGTTATTTTAGTAAAACGTGAAAATAGCTGTCAAATGATTTTGAGGTCCCCGTCAGAATCGCAACTTTCTTATTACGACGTCTTCGTCAAAATAGTTGCTTCAACATTATCTTGACATACCCCGTCAATGCAGCCGTCGTGATAGCCATTTCGTTCCATTTGGTTTACGACTGAATGTGTTGAGTTGACGGAGTCGTGTTGCTGTGTCGCATGCCTAAGAAGCTTCAATCCTACTTGGCGTTACGAATGTCTTAGTCAGCGTGTGTGTTCTCTTCAGTTCATCTTTTTGGACACGCCCAGCGGCATGTTACGAGCTCTCACAAGTCATTTCGCCACGTATGAATCTGCAACTGTGGGAAACTGGGCGATCCAAAGAGTTTGACCAGGTTGCCCGCATGTTAAATCATCTCTCATGATTCCTACTGCAAGGTGGCGAAGCGTAATTGGCCACATGAGTGGTGCTGCGCTGCTAATAAAGGCCGGTGCAGAAGTATGCAAGGGGCTCTCTGGGTCGCGACGCTGGCAGTAACAGTCAATAAATAACTGTGTTGTTGAACCAGTGCGTTGTGTCATTCTCTGAGACGGGTAGCGGCAAGGGAAATCCTGCAGAACAAAGGTGAGCTGGATATTCCTCTATCTGGCCTGCACGTAACAAATGTAAGTGTGTACACTGTGTTAAGACTGAGAGTTTGGGCCAATTTTTAAATCTGCACGCCTCCACTACCGCGCGATCTTCGAATGATTTCAAGGTCTCGCTTTACATCTAGCCCCTGCCCCCTTTTGAGCTAGGTCTTGTGGGTTTGTTGTTTAGTTTAAATTTGCTTTTTGTTTGTTTATACAGAGTTTGGGGAGGTTACTAAACAATCAGGACATCAAATAAAGTGTTACAAATGCAAACATTGCCTTTTCTGTTTCTTGATCAGTGCAAACAAACAACAAAGGTTCCGACACTATGAGCAAAAAGTTATCTTGCAGTCTGCGTCGCGGTTCAGCACGGATTTTTCTATACCAATTGTGGGATTGACTGATATTTTTATTACCTGATTTTTTAAAAGATTCAGACATGATTTTTATAAATCATGCATTCGGTGACGTTTAGCACAGTACTACCAAGCAAATGTTACACGCGGCCCGATCATTTAAAACCTCTGGTTGCTATATGCAAACAAGGTGACAAATGTTTTATCACCGCTTTCAATGCCCTGCCAGTTTGAAGCTCCCAATCCAAACTTGGGTCAGTTTGGTGGCCAGTTGGATGGGAGACATCAAAAGAAAGCAGTTAAAATTTTGACAGGGGATGTCAAAATTATCTGAAAACTATTTTCACATCTTTAGGAAGTGGTGTCACTGGCATCAAAATAATTTGAGATATTTTGAAGCCGGACGTCGAAATAGTCACTGCCGGCTAAATATACTCTAGTTTACTATGTCGTTAAGGCTATTATTAAATGTCCATATGTCCAATGCTAAAGACAATTTAGTTTTTATTTAAACTTTATTGATCATGCTTTCAAACAGATGGAAGCCTACTATATAGAGGAGGTAACCCATCAAGAAATTTGATGTAAAAATGAGATCTATAGGGCACCCGAGCTATACCTAGTTACTTAGAAATTCTCCCACTATAAATATCCTTCCTTAAATTATCATTTCGAAACAAATAATTATCAATGACACACACAACTTCATCAGGATATCACAGTCTATCATAAATATAAGCAGTAGTTTTGGTTTGCTTTTTTTTTTTTTTTTTACTGCAAGATAGAGTAGTCATTCTAACATTTCACCAGGTTCCCCTAAAAAGAAAATACACTCCACTGGAAATGTAGAGGTCCCTGGTTCGATACCAGGACCAGGCAGATATTTTCGGTCGCGCACCAGTCACCCAGCTGCGTTTGGAGATTTGTGCTTGCCCTTTGTCCCCCTTCTTCAAAGATTATTATCGACATTGTCTTCCAGCTCGCTTACACCTCTGCATTAATTGCATTATAATGTGTACACATGCACCATTTCACTTCAAAGGAGTGCTTTTCCCCTTAAAACATATGGCTGCACTGCAGCAAAGCAAAATATCCAGGATGGTGATGTCTCCTCTGCAGGTGTCATTTCTCAGCAGTACACAAATGTGCAGTGAGAGGCACACTAAATTAAGTTAACTAGCCCACTCGCAGAGAAATACTGCAAATCTACAGAGTTTGATACCAATACTTTGATACTTGATACTGTGTTTGATACTAAGATTAAATCCATTAGCACGTCATTCAAAGCAACAATAAACATATTCAAAAATTCAACAAGCCTAACGTAACAATCCTGCAATGTAGCAGGGCCTGAGCTATTACTGCCAATATTGAGAAAGCGAATCCCCCGAGTCTTGGTGTGGATTCTTCACGTTTTGAAGAAAAATAGCAGGATGTGGCAGGGTAAACGCCATGTCGCAGTTTTCTGCGAATGGCTCAGAAATCATATCACTCCCACATTCAATTTCGTATATTACCTCTGCTCTTATGGAATGCATTTTATAAGGTTTTTATCCGATAATTAATGGAATAAAAAAGCTCTCATTATGATGCAAGCTGTAAGGAGAATTCAACTCGGTAGATGCTGGTTTCTCCTCGACACGCTACTACGCAAATTTTTGTGTGCCTGACTAATAAAGTCCTCTCTCCCAAAAACAGCAAAAAAACAAAGCCACAACTATAAGCTACAACAGAAGCAAGTAGAGACGATAATAGCTTGCAACTAGTAGAGAGATTTTTAAGCACTGCCTAAAATCTCTAAGAAATGTTTCCCTCTAAAAAGTACTTTCTGAGGAGCCATTTCTTGGGCTCCATGGAGAGACAACCTACCCACAGCTTCAACATACATCAAGTATTGTGTGCAACTACTGGAAATGAAAGATCTACAAAGTTAACAAAGGCCACAATGTTAATTGGAATTAGAACTGAAAGTGAGGAATTGAAAACCTCTCATGTCAAGAATTTCTGCAGTGTGGATACGTCCTTAACTGGGAGAGACCAGCTGTAAACCATGAATATCCAAGTGTGGGACATGTCAGAGTTAGTGCCAATGTTGAATAACTAACCTCTTCCTCTTTGCGCCACTGGTCAACCTGCAGACGGCGTCTTGTTATGATCTCAGCTGCTTCCAGGGTCTGTTAAAAAAAATTTTGGTCACCTGTCATGCTTTTGGCATTTATGTATCAAAATTATTATAATATTAACTCTCCAATAAAAACGTATATCAACCTTGCTCGCCGATTTCTCAAGCACGCTTGTGTACTGTTTCCGTGGCGTGGGAGAGACAGTTGCCATCAGCTCTGTGCCCTCTTCGTCCTTGATTGAACGATAAGAGAATATCAAGCTCTCACTTCAATCCCATTCTTCATCCATGATTGAACAGCACCCAAAAATCAAGCTCTTGCCTCCATACCATTAATTCTTTCGAACTCCGCTCGCCATTTATCATGGAAAAAATTTACTTCACAAACTTTGGCTGCCACACAGAGTTAAGAATTCTGCAAAAACTGTTAAAATGACTCAATACGCAATATATTCCTGAAAATAAATGAGAGTTTTAGATATACACATCAGTGTACATGGCATTTGAAAGCATTAATCAAAACTTTACATGACAAGTACAAGTTATAATAACTGTTGAAATTGGCCAATCAGGCTGGACCACCTAACTTGTCACTTCCTATGTGGGTTGCCCCCCGGTTACCTCCGTCGTCCCTGAGCAATGGCTCTATCAGGCTCAGCGACACTCAAAATTTGAGCAGACTGCCACATAACAATGCCGCCTACAACGTTACTAGAACCCCTCAGTAGGGAAACTGCCATAGAGCCTGCCCTGAAAAAGTGGCTCCAATCCGTACTTGAGAACTGAGCTAATGGCGATCACAACGCCGCCATTTCTCCCACAGCATCCACTCCGGGAACTGCACGGCTGCACGTCGAGTCGGGCAAGGGCTGGTGGTGCCATCTTGCAGTAGCTATGTAAAGCAACTTTCATGTCTCAACTCGTCGCTAAAGGGTGGCGCTGTTATCGTATTTAGCTCGGTCTCGGTGGACGCCAGCGGCCCAGGTTGCAAAAGCGAGTTTCCCAACTGAGGGTTTTAGTAATGTTGGCTGCCTCTATCATCTAAAATACACAAACTATGGATGATGAATATAGTCTTGTATCAGGGTTCGCTACACTGGATGACAATGTTAATGCGAACATGGCACTTCATCACAAATGTTTCCTATGTGCCGAGAAAGTGAAGGAGAGGAAGAGATGAGAGCGCGTGGGGATGTCAGAACGCCGAGTTCTGGTTGGAACAGTTAGTAGGTAGACCAAAAGCAAGCAGCGTGTCTCCACTGACTTTGTCAAACATGTAACACCAGCGTCCGGCGGTTGGTTTTCGCATTCGAACGCATTCGACGAGTGCAGCGGAGACAAAGGCAGCCTTTGTCTCCACTGCACTTGTCAAACGCGTTAAAACGCAAAACGCAGGCGTCTGGCTCTTGCATTCAAATGTGTTCGACTAGTGCAGTGGAGACAAAGGCAGCTAGCTTTAGGTCTACCCACTACAGTCAAACCCGTTTATAACGAACAGCAGGAAACGCTATGATCAGTTCGATATAGCAAAAACCATTTACAACGAACTTCCACAATGTGTTCGTTGTAAGGCAAGAGCTTCTCTTTCCTTCTCATCTCAATTCCACCTTGTAACAACACGCTGGAATTTTTTTTTTGCACGCATGCAGATTTTGTTATTTTAGCTTATCTCCCTTTCTGAATTGCTTCTCTTCGTGGGCAACCACATTAGGATAAATGTTTTTTTGTTTTTTTTTCTGTGCGTGCATGCAGCACTTTTCTTTAGCTTTCTCACCTTCAGAATCGCATCTCTTCGCTCAATTTTGTTTGCGGCTTGAGCTTTTTGAATTTTCTTTCCTACTTTTTTTTTTTTTTTTGGGGGGGGGGGGGGGGGGGGGGGGGGGGAGGCTAGAAGAATATTGCTTGCTCGTTTTTGGAAACCTTCCCGGGGAAAAAAGTTTGATATAGCCAATGTGTTGTTCGTTATAAAAAGCACTTTTTACATCCATTTTTATTTAAATTTTCTGTGAGTTCGATATCAAAAATAATTTGCTGTACTTGGGTTCATTCTAAACGGGTTTCACTGTAATCACTGTAATCCGAGCTCGGCATTCTGACATCCCCACGCGCTCTCACCTCCTCCTCTTCCACTTTTTCGGCGCATAAGGTATTGCCGGGCACCAAATCTTACACATTAGGTCAGTGCCTCCAAAGAGCACTTTTCACCACATCAGTAGTTTTGACGACAGAAAATACCGGCGATCACTTATTTGCACAAAGTGTTGCACTCTATATACTGGCTTCCATATCTGTTTTCCAAACCACTGTATTTTCAATCCATCATCGATTCTCTGCATCATTAGTTGCGTTCTCTTGTATAGACATTTTCACTCTCCATCGCATGGGCGCTGTCACCTTGGAATCACGTGATGCAGCCGTCATTAGGTTGCTTCAACTCTTCACTCCGCTCTCCCCTCCGCATCTTGGCACATACATTGCATTCATATTTTTTGTCGCGCTTCATTGCATTTCTTGCCTTACTCCAATACTTAGATTGACTACCTAATTGCATGACATCATTATGTGCACGACTTCTGCAGTTAAATTTGCAACACGTTTTGACCATTTTCACTGTCGGCGCGACGGATATGCGTGAAGAGACTATCTCACGCACATTGAGCATTTTGAAAATTCTGAGACAGCACGAGGGTTCAAAGGTTAATTACTTACGAAAACTCAGGTTTGCTTACTAATAGTGGCAGAACATTCGCAATAAGAAGTGCAAGGCACTGTGAACAACTTAAAGGGGCACTAAAGTCATTTTTAAGAAAGGTCGTTTTTGATCTTATATTGTTAAAATATGTTATTTCCCACATATACCAAGTCCTATATTACAAAACTGGCTATTCATCTCAGGGCAAGAGAAAAACATGTGGACTCTTCTTTCCCGCAAACTACACTGTGTGGACCAATGAAGCCCTACAATACGCACAGATTCCGAATGATTTTATTATAACTCATTTTGAAGAGAGTCTGATAGGCACACATTCAGATAAGACTTCTCTTTTTCACCGTGGACGAAGCTACCGGTTGCAACTCACCGACAAGCGCCTTTCAAAGACCACTTCACTCGGAAGCTTCCCAAAAAGGGCATGTCGCAATCTTTAAACACGCTTTTTAACGAAAAAATATGCTACGCACGATTGTAATTTCGGGTTTGTTGGGATGCTTAGAGCATCTAGATTGAGTTGTTACCACAAAAGGATGATCTCAAAATCGACTTCAATGCCCCTTTAACATTTCGCGAGGCCCTAATTTTTGTGAAATGTGCTATTTGAAAAATATTGCAAAAATTGATTATGCAAATACACCACTTCAACAAATACAGAGCATATCACTCCTAATCGCAAAATTTTGTGCCTGCAAAATATTCTTTATAACCACACTTCCCAAGATTTGCAAAATATTAAGCCCACAAAAAAAAAGTGAATTACACAATATTTATGATCATACATTTTTATGAACACACATTTAGGATCTGAGGGAAGGTGACAAGAACATTCAGCTTACAGAGCCACTGCATGTGTTACGTAAAGGCATTGTGCTTTGTATTAATAACAGACTGAAAACAGTTGCTTTAGATTATATTGGGGAACTCGGGGAGAGGGTAGGTTAAGAACGCAAATTTTTTTTCCGATGCTTGAAATAATGGTACATCCATATCATTTGGTTTGTTTATTCATAACATCTCACCTACATCTGTTTGACATTCATAAGCGTTTTTGCGACATAAACATGCACTTGATAAATATAGCATGCTTGGTCCCATGTCTACTGCCTTTCAAGTGATTTAATAGTTTTCTTCAGATAACCAGTGCAATTCAATTAATTTATTTCAACACAAAGGCTAGAACTCCCCGCGTAGTGCATGGAGTCCATAATATGTCAACACTAAAAAAAAGGCGTCTGCATGAAAATCACCCGAGAGCGGCATTGTTCATGGCAAATATATCAATATAATTTCAGTGACTGGCAGTGCCGAAAACTACAAAGTGCATTTGTTCAAACATATAAAGAGCTGCCTACACAGGTCCATAGAGTGGCACCTGGCATTCTACTTCAGCCAAACTTGCCGGACGTCACTTCTCTTGTGCCCTTTAAATTCATTTGGAAAATTTTATTGAAGACAATTGTCAGACTTCATTTGACGAGCCTGTCACTTATTGCCCATCTCGAAAATTTCACAGAAAATTTCATACAACGAATAGTTTACTTCTCAAGGCCAATATTGTGAAATGCTGTTAATGAGTACTTTAGTTAAAGAAATTCGCTACTCGCCCTAGGTTGGAATATTGAGATACTCCTTGGGTACTTAACTTCTTTGAAAAAAACAAACTAAAATATCATCACTGCTTTTTTTTTTTTTTTTTTTTTTTTTATCTGCACAAATATAGGAGTCTGTTTCAGTCTGCGAAGTCGGACGTAACTCTAGACCTTGAGGTAAAGTTACAAGGGAGTTAAAGGCAACTCGATGTGACACTAGACATTGCATAAACAAAATACTATGGGGGCTGCCATCTTCAAAAACGAAACAACAAAACCGAAACAAAGTGGTGAGAGGGCGCTTTTAAGAGTTTAAATAATTACTTGACACTTTCTCTTTTTTAATTGTTTGTTTGTCAATTTAGATTATGTTAATAATATATTATTAGTTTTACAACATATTTTTATTGACACAAAGCCCCCGATCACATGGTTTGCGATTACTACAGGTTTATGGATCCTAAAGTGGGCATCTCGACAGCAGGCTACACGCCGTCAGTGAGCGCGGCGATGCAATTCGGTCAGCGCTCCGGTGTTACCCAAACTTCTGCTCCCAACAGTACATTCAAACAGTGGCAACAAACAAAACACCCTGACCTTCCCCCCAATGGCAGCACAGTATCACCTGACTTGACGATACATCCAGTCAAACGGCACAAAACTCGGCATATTCAAAGAAGACACCGCTGATCTCTACTATAAAGGGCTGGATGGCGCTTAGCTGCTCTCCGAGCCTGGCGCAAGTGAAGCCACCGGTCGTTCGATGCTGTCCCGGAAGTCAGGCGTGCGCTGGGCTTCCTAGTGCATTTAGTCAATATTTCTGGATGAAATCCCGAGAATAAGGTATTTGAACATGGGACATACACACACTTGATAAACAACCTTTTCACATCAAATGGCTTCCCATGAGACTTCTCGGGTCCGCATGCACTGTTATTCCGCAACAAGCAGGCTCTCTTGGGATGACAAGAAAAAAACCCAGCACCCTGAACGCTGTTCGAACCAGCTCTCGGAAGAGCTGAAAAGCCTGTCAAGCGCTCGCTTCCGTGACAAGCGGCTTACTTCCGGTGGCTTCAAACCTGTCTGCACAATGCGCCATCCAGCTCCCTATACACCAACTCAACTCTCCTACGTCACGCCGCGGTGGTGGCGCGCCGGACGCACTTCCGGTCTGTGGCGGTGGGCAGAAGTCGCCGTGCCAGACATGCATTCCTGTGTTCCCTTGGAAGAAACGAGACAAAAAACCTGCTTTCTCGTCAAAATGCTGCGACGGGGGTTGTACCAAGAGAGTCTGGAAAGGTTTGAAGATCAGTTTTCATGTGTTTTTGCCCCCTCCGTTCGTCCGAGAACGTGGATAGTAGCCGTGAAAAGGGCAAACCAGACGCTGTCGAACTACGATTGCGTGCGCGGGCAACACTTTGTGGTCGCCAGATGTGTTTGCTTTGTTCCAACATAAACGAGAAAAAACCGCCAAGTTGTCCGAACCACCCACGGGTTCAGTGCGTCTTCAAATTCACACGGCCGCCTGATCGTTCAAACTTTCGTCTGCTTTTTGTCGTCTGCTCGTTCAAACAAAAGCGGCCCGTAGACCAAACTTTGACCCGGTGATTGCAATAAGAAGTAATTGCAGACCTCAAAAGACTTAAGTAGGCTCGGTGTAAAAAGAAGATACAAGATGTTGATCATTGGTACCGGCGGTCATCACCGACTTGTTACGCTTGGTCTGTTCCCGCTTCCGATTTTCAGTATCGACGTCAATCATCGCCGCTACCTTCTACACTTTTGCAACACGAGCGACGTCGCTACCGAAAATAGCTGGAAGAATCTCATCATGGTTTTGGCGTCCATTCTGCGGCGTTCATGCGAATGAATCGCCGCACGTCAAATTATTTACGGAAAGTTTAGCGGCGTAACGAGCCTTGATAATTTCGCTTAAGCGATTAAAGTGGTAAGACATTGCGATGAGGACGTGGAATCGACAATTCCAACGCGAAAAAGAGTAGGCAGACTCACACAGACGCCGACAACGTGACATTCGAGTGGTTTGTTGACGCGGGACGCGGTGCTTCTTGCCCATACCCCATTACGCATGCGTTCGAACTGTCGTCTGCTCTTTTAAACTTGGCTGCTTTTTGTCGTCAGCTCGTCCAAACGACAGCGGCCTGGAAACCAAACGTTGACCCGGTAATTGCGATAAGAACTAAGTGCAGGCCTCAAAACACTTTTGAAGGTTCGTTGGGGTAAGTAGGCTAAGTGTAAACAGATACAAGAAGATGTTTATCATTATTGTTACCAGTGGCCATCACCGACTTGTAATGCCCGATTCTACTTGCGGTTTTCAGTATCGACGTCCACCATCTCAGCTACGGTCCGCGCTTTTGCAGTCCGAGCAACGTCGCATCTGAAAACAGCGAGCAGAATCTGATCGTGGGAGTCAGGCTTTAGCGCCCATTCTGCGGCGTCCACGTGAAATGAATCGGCGCACGTCACATTACTCACGCAAAGTTTTGCCTCGTTAGTTTTGCTGAAGCCGCTCAAATAGTCAGACATTGTTAGGAGGACGTAGCATCAACAATTCCAACGCGAAAAAGGGCACGGGGACTCCCACCGACGCCGACAACAACGCAATTCAATGGTTTGTTTATGGGCGACGGCGGGCTTCTTGCCCACCATCCACCGCGCATGCGCGGTGCCGGTGGCGTCCGCTAGGGGCGCTCCGGTTTGTTTGTAAACATGAGTTGGTGTATAGTAGATCAGTGGAAGACACCGAGATACTTCTCAAAACAAAAGAAGATTCCGCTCAGATCGAGCACGCCCTCTCTCTCTCTCTCTCCCTCTCAGATCGAGCCTTTACGCTGTCGCACGAAGATTCAAAACAAGTGCGCCTACCTCGCGAAGACTGGCCAGATATTCGCGGAGCAGCTCCTCACAGCCTGTCAAATTCTTTTCAGGCTCCCAAGTATCTTCTTCAGGTCCAAACCCTTTCCACCGGATGAGGTATTCCTGCTTTTCGTTCCTCCCGGAACGCTTTCGGCGGTGGTTCAAAATTCGTTCAACCTAAAAGTGTTCGACATTTAGGTCAGTATATAAAACACTGACTGCGTTTACAAGGATGCGATTGTAGCGCATCGAATCGAGATTTGACTTTTTGTGATTGGTAGCAGATGGGTAGAGGAGGAAGAAGTAAGAAGAGAGGCAGCGTGTGATTGGTCCCTGCTCGATTCGATTCACTACGATCGCATTCATGTAAACGAAGCAACTGACAGGAGTACGGCAAAGCACGACGGAAGGCAACTCGAAAGGGGCGCCCTGCGTTCTGTCAGCGGATGCAATTTTAAAAACGTCAACACGCAAAATGGCGCGTTCAAACCCAATACTTGCCTCATAGTGTTCGCCTCCCTCCATTGTGCGTCCTGTTTGGGGTCAACAGAATGCTTGCTTGGCCCAGGATAGAAAAGTTAAAAAATACTAGGCTACTGCGTCAGATATGTTTAGCTAATTGATAGACTGTGGACAAACAGCGACACTGTACCAGCGCTGTACTCGCTGTACTACCTTGGCGGTAAAAAGCGCTGGTTCGGATTGGACGGATTGGCCAACTTAGCCTTGGCCAATAAGCCACTAGCAAATTTACGCAATCTGAATTTTTTTCTTTTTTTTAGTTTTTAGTAATATGTATAGATACAACCTTAGAAAGATATCTATTACATATTAGCATTTAAACAATATTTTAGTTACAAAAATAAAAATAAACTTTGTTTAGAAAGTAGTTTGCAGCTTGATATGGTGATTAATTTAAAGGACTTGATTGCCTTGTTGTGTGTGGATTCTGTTGCCTTTATATTAAACTAAAAAGTCAAATATGCGATCCAATCCAAGACCAAAATGGCTGGCAATCAGCGGCGAGGTCGTGCGTCGAGCGCTCTGAAATGGGATTCAAACAGCGCGAAACAGACAGCTCCAGGGCGGAAACCGTTGGCCGACCCGACTTCGGTGTCCCAAGTGCTCGTCATGGTGGGCCTGCACATCTGCCGGCGGGTTGTTCTTGTCCAGCCCAGCGTAAAAGTGCCCGTCTACCTCGGCATCCTTCTCTTTGGTTCGATCATGTGCGACTTTTTCCCCATACCACGTAGTTACCTGTCCCGCAAGGACAACGTGTTCAACGTGTACTTCGTCAAGCTCGCCTGGGGCTGGACGCTCATCACGGTCGGTCTGTTCTTAGCGCTGTCCAGCTGGGTTTACTGCTGCGGCGATCGCGCGCTCATCCGACGCCACCTGAGCCGACTCGCCGTCGGAACGGCAGTCTGGTTTTTCACCACTAACTTCTTTGTCGTCTTCGAGTCGTACACCGGATACTGCAGTTCGGAGAAGTACGCTACGCGACAACTCTGCGTTCGAAACGGCTACCGCTGGTTGGGCTTCGACATCTCCGGTCACGCATTTCTGCTCATCTATTGCAATCTGCTCATCATGGAAGAGGCGAAGAGCTTGTGCGGCTGGGAGCGCATCGGCGAGATGATCAGGAACGAGAAGTACGACGACGACAGCCCTCTAAAGGACGTTGCCGAGCATCACCTGGTGGTGCTGCGGGACTCGTACCCCAAGCTCACGCCTTACGTGCGGCTCATGTTTGTGGCCATGACGCTGCTCTCGATATTGTGGGACGTTATGCTCGTGTGCACCGTAGTCTATTTTCACACGATGGTGCAGAAGGCGCTCGGGGGTGTCATTGCGATCCTGCTGTGGTTCCTGACCTACAGAGTCTGGTACATGTCGCAGTGGTCCCCTGGCCTGCCCGGAAAAGGCTTGTTTCGATATGGCGACATTGTGAGAAAGTCTTGGAAAGCGTCTGGCAGTAAAAGTTGATTACTGCAGCTTTTTACTCGTTTGTCACGTTTAATGACGCACGCGTTGTTGTTGACCCTGGGGTGTTATCGTTTTGTTTGCCAACAATTCATTATTTTCCAAATTCACGGCTCCAGACTTCTTGGTATGAATATATGCTCGCGATTGGCGACAGACTTTAAAGCTAGAAATTCCTACAGACAGCCCTGGTATGCACGCACCTTCACTGCCAAGACCTCTCAAACCGTGGATTTCTGAAAATTCTGATTTGTATATTGTTTTATCCCAAAGTAGCACCCGTCGGACAAGGTTGTGTTGTACTCACTTAATATGAAGAATTTTGTGTAAATTGTTGTATGTTGCAGCTTATCTCATTGTGCATGCAACAATTGAAAGACATTGAACATGTGGTTTATATTGCCCTTTTAATATATGCTTGCAATTATATTTACACCCATCCTCATTGTGTCAGCTCAAAATGAACAAACTTTGTAATAAAGATGCTACCTCTTACAAAACAGTTTTCACTATGTTTGGCAGTGCAAGGGCAAGCCTCAATATACAGGGTGTCCCCCCCAAAAAAAAACAATTTACAGGGTTTTTTTTATTGCAAAAATAAACTAGGCATTGCCGAATGCTCATTCTCCGCCCAAAGGTAGCCCTATACCCGTTTTCACCTCAAGAAAAAAGCAAGTTTTGCGCATTGTTCATACGCGGCACGAAGTAGTTCTTACGAGATTTATTGTCGGAGGAAAAAGCGATGCTTTTGGCGTTTGGAACGTGTGCGTCTTGATAAGACAACATAGAACTAATCTACAAATCACCTACCTATATCTCAATTCCTTACATAAAGGGGAAAATCAGTAATGCTCCGCGAGAAGCCGGACTTTTTTTTACTATGGTTCTTGAGGTGAAAACAGGTATAGAGGTCACAACCAGATGCCGAAGTTTCAGCCCGATCCAAATTTTATTCAAAAGTTATAAGCGATTTTATGAAAAGTTCAATGGGAAAATGGTGGCCGACGGAGTTTTCAAATACATGGGGCTCTATGGCGCCAGAAACTGAAAACGGGCAAAAATGAGCTCCATTTTCCCATTGAACTTTTCAGAAAATCGCATAAATTTTGAACAAGGCATCGAATCGGGCTGAAACTTTGGCATCTGGTTGCGACCTCTAGGGCTACTTTTGGGCAGAGAATGAGCGTTCGGCGATGCCTAGTTTATTTTTGCGGTAAAAAAACCCTCTAAAGCTTTTTTTGTGACACCCTGTAGATGAAAAAATCAACCATTAGGAGCTTTAGTCGGAATTTAGAAGTTCTTGAAACACTAACTGCTGAATCTGCTTTTAACAGCTTCTTTGGGAAGGATAACATTGTAATACCCTCAAGGAAGTCCTTAAGGTACTTAATCAAAGATACTTTATGTTCAAGCTAAAGTAGACATTATTTCTATTCTGCTCCCAGCACACCTTTGGAAGCAGATCACCATACAATAAGATGAGATGCAGCCCAGCTTTCACCTACACTACACACTTAACCTCTTAATCAAATGAGCCAAGCTAAGCTGTCCAAGGCCACTAGACAGAGCTTTGTCATGAGCTCTGTTCATCCACAGGATCATCCTGCATTTGATGTTCCACTAATGTCCGGAAAAGTCCACCAGGTATGTGCGCCAGCTCGTCAAAAGTGCCCGACTCCACAATAGAACCCCCTTTCAAGACGGCTATGTTGCTTGCCCTTCGAACAGTCGAAAGTCTGTGAGCAATGGTTAGGACAGTCCGCCCCCTCATGAGCCTCTCAAGCGCTTGTTGAACTGCCCTTTCGCTCACGGCATCCAGAGAGCTGGTTGCCTCATCCAACACCAGAACCCTGGGATCCCTCAAGATAGCCCTGGCAATGGCAACTCTTTGCTTTTGGCCTCCTGACAAAAGAATCCCCCTTTCCCCAACCAGGGTGTCGAATCCGTCTGGCAAAGCTTCTATGAAGTCCAGGGCATTTGCTTCTCTTGCTGCCTGGACTACATCGTCACGCGTCGTCTGCGCCGGATCCTTGGAGCCATACAGGATGTTGTCGTAAATGGATGCCGCAAACAGCGTTGGTTCCTGGCTGACAATGCCCACGCTGGTTCGCAGGAAACGGGGATCCAGCTCTCGCACATCCACGCCATCCAGCATGATGAGTCCCGAGGTGGGATCGTACAGTCTGAGCAGCAGGGCGGCTAGAGTGGACTTGCCTTGACCACTGGGCCCCACAACGGCCAGGATGCTGCCCTCTGGAACCAAAAGGCTCAGCTTGCTGAGGACCAGAGCCTCGGGTCGCGTAGGGTATGAGAAAGTGACGTCATGAAACTCTACCCGACCCCTGAGCTGCTCCAGGATTCTGCCACCGGCCACCGGTAAGGCTGGAGTACGGTCCACAATTTCCCAGATTTTCTTAGAGGCACCGAGTGCTTTGGCACTCTCGGTGAAAAAGCTGCCAAGTCCACCGATGGAAACACCCACGTAGGCTGCATACAGCAGAAACGAGGACAGGCTGCCAACAGTGAGCTCGCCGCGGGACATCAGTATGCCGCCGTAGTAAAGCACAGCCAGCACTATCATGTTGCCCGTGGCCCCCGTGCACCCGAAGAAGAGCGCCTTCAGCGTGGTCTCTGTGTTTATGCGATCCAGGAGCAGGTGTAGGCCCTGCGTGTAGCGGGACTTCTCGTACTCTTCCTTGGCGAACGAGCGGACGGTCCGGACGTTCGAGAACTGTTCCTCCGCGATGGCGCTCGTTTGGGCCAGTCGTGACTGCACGTCTACTGCGACCTGCTTCAGCCTCCGCGCGAACACAAAGGAAGCCGCGGCGACGGGAGGCACCACGCTCAGACCGACCAGGGCCAGGTGGGAAGAAGTGTACACCATCATACCGACGCCACCCAAGACCGCGATGGATGACCTCAGTCCGTCCGAGATGTTCTGGGTGAGTGACATGCCGATCAAAGCTGTGTCGCTGGACAGGCGGGTGACCAGGTCGCCTGTTCGACTGCGATCGAAGAACGCCACCTCTTGTTGAATGATAGAGGCGTGCGCTTGCCTGCGGAGAGAGTGGATGATGCGCTGCGCGGAGTTGTTCATCAGGTAGACCCGACCGAAGTTGGCCAGGCCGCCGATCACCACAACGCCCGCTAGGATGGTGCAAATCCGATTCAGGTTCTCACGTAGGTTGGCTTCTCCGGAAGAGGTGTAGATGACGTCGATCATCTTGCCGATGCAAAATGGGAAGGCGATCATGACCGAGCTGGACACGAAGAGCAGCACGACCGCCACGGTCAGTCGACCCCTCTCGGGTTTGGCGTGGCGCAGGAGCCTTCGCAGGTCGCCGCTTTTCTTCCCAGTTGGCCGACGGACCGAGCTCAAGCACCGCCCGAGATGCAGCGCAGGCCGAACGTTGTGCCTAGAGCTGCAAATGCTGCGCAAGTGACTCGTCCAGCGGATCGTGTTCCGTTGCAGCACGACCTGACGGAGCCGTTGTGTGCACAAGTTCACAAATAGGACACTCATCGTTGGGTCGCTGGGTTTCGATGGCACGTTTGACCAGCGCCTCCTTGTTTGTCTTCACGATCAGCGGCAAAGAGCCTAGGGCTGATTCGCTGCACTACTGAGATGCTGATCGCCAGCTCGTCGAACTGAAGTCACATTGATTTCATACAACGTGAGGAGATACATGCCAAAACGTTTCGTCCAAGTTAACCTGTTTCTTTTCTTCTTTTAAATACGAATCAGTGGGGGTAGCGTTGTCCCAAACCAGCACGAACGTGACAAGAATGTGAAGATTACATGTGGCCCGGACTACTTATCACGAAATCAAATCAAACGAAAGCGTGGGCGGATCAGCAGAGTGCAGCAGAACCAGCAGAAGCAGCAAGTTACCGTGGCCAGATTGAAACCGATTTTTGTCTAAGCATCACCAGCTACAATTTTTTTGCTGTGCGTGAACTAAGAATTATATTAAACCTTTCAAACAATGCTAGACACTATTTATTCTATCTACCTGGCCCTTTTACCACTGGTACTTATCAAGGGCGGTCAACAGTTTTAAACAGTGCAGCACCAGTAGCACAGAACTCGTTAGACATATCGAATTTCCTACTCTGTGTGGCAACCCTCTAAAATTTGCTGCTTTTGCTAGTACGTTGCTCAAGGAGGTTATGACGTTGCTACACCATAGTCGCGCTGCTCTCTTCACTCTACTGCTCACTCTTTGAGATTTGCGCGCTTTGCGCGCCACTTTGTTATAGTGGGTGTGGTCGTTTCGCCACAGCCGCCACAGCATATAAGAAACTATTTATATAAAAATGTAATATTTTTGACTTGTAATAGGCTTGTTTTGAGTGAAATATAGTTTTATTTACGGCTTTTGTTTTTATTTGTAACATTTTTCAGTTTTTGCTGGCTTAGTTTGTAATTTTGCCGCAACAAAGGTGCGGCGCTACAACTCGTAAGGGTCACTCAGATTCGCAAAGCAAAACAGCGGCTGTGGCCATGAAAAGGCGACACATTTTTTAAACGAAACTCGAGTGCGTGGCGTACAGAGGTGCGGACTGGCTCGCTGGCTCTGAATCACATGTTTGTTGTCCTGCCTTGGTCCTGCCAAAATGGCAGTCAGCGATGATTCCGTCGAACGCACACCGCTTCTTCAGGAACAATCTGATTCTTCTTTGCCCAGTTACAGCAATGCCCAGGTCAGGGGTACGTATGTTGAAACGAGCCGTATTTCTTTCGCCGCTGAACTGTCCTACCCCATCATAGTGGCGTTTCATTTCCTCAGTACTGCCCAGAATCGCAGCCGACACAACCACCCACTGACGTATTTGTGAAGGATAGCTCTTGCGTAAATCATTGATCTTATCGGGCGGAGGCACACTCGCCCTGAATGATACGTGCACTTAAAGATTTGTTTTAACTCGCAACCACCGGAATCGGTCGGTTCCGAAGTGGCTGCCGAGGGTGTGATTTCCATGTACGAGGAGCGTTCTTTCCTCAAAACTGCTCAGATGCGCATTTTCCCAAAGCCAATTTTGTTTGTGTAACTCCCTTGTTTTCAGCTTTCCTACGTGTAAATCTTGTCGGGGAAAGCTGTCGCCTGACTTGGTCGCCTTGGGACACATATGTGCTGTTCGATCGACATCTGTTAAGTCGAAGACGCCGTGTCGGTAGTCCACCGTTACAATGCGGATGAGAAACAACGCATCAGTAATGTAGATGTGATGCGACAGGAACGCGCGGGCAATTCTTACGAGCGGGACACTGGTTTTTTTTAAACTAAAACGTACGCGTGAAGACGTCAATACGTTTCGCCCGAATGCTCGAAAACTGGTGGGCGTATGATGCGGCCGGAAGGAGGACGAAGAGAATGGGGTACCAATACCACTGCCTTTTTTATATATATAATTTTTTTTTACTAGGGGTATTGGAACTGCGATATGCACAACTGCGATATGCACGTTAACACGGGCTGCCAATGTTAAAACAAAAGAAAACGATTGCTCGCATCACCGATAGTCATATCTGTAGGATTCCCATGGAACCTAATTGACCTCTTGAATATCTCGGAATGATAGACTCAAAAGGTACCATCAAGGTTGGAACCCTACAGATGCCAAATATTCCGCACTGTCATTATACGTAACATGTAAGTTTTGTATTGTGCAGTGCCTGCTGTCCTTCCGTTCTCCAGTGTGTTTTGATCTACCAGTAATCGGAATGTGACAATTTAAAGGGGCATATAGCTACATCTGAAGCTGTTATTGACCTCTAATCTGCTAGTATTTCCTTCTTTTTTTTTTTTTTTTTTCAGAGCCCCTAAATAAAAAAAAACAAAAAAAAACAAGCTTTTTGTACATCACACTAGGTTATGTAGAATTGTACACATTTTTGGAAAAAAAATTTATATATATATATATATATATAATTTATTTTTTTAATTGTGTAACATCAATCGGCTCGCCTGTTTACTTACGCTTTCTTCAAGCAGAATTATATCTTCTTTCTCAAGAAAAACAAAGTTTATTCGAAACCAGATGACAAGTGCTAAGAACTGCTACATTCAAGATACGGTAATTAGATAACAGGAATTACCAGGCATTCAAAGTGTTTTCTTTTTTTTCTTTTTTTTAAATTGATTCGTTTTCATTGTTTCTGTGGTCGTAAAAATAATGTTTCGGGTTTGTTATATGTAGTAATGAAGATATACCACAGACAGCATATTGCTTCCCAAATATTCCGATTTCCATGACATCACACATAACTGAGGATAAGGGTAACGAAAGTCCTGAGTGGCCAGCTCTCGACTATAGTCGGTTACAGGTTAAGAAGTTAGCAGCAAATGCCCCTCAAAGGGAATCATATATCCCTCCGCCACCTCCGCATCCAATAGCGTCCCATTGTTTCCTTGACGTCGCGGCCAACGCGCGAGGAGGGTCTTGCCTTTCTGTACGTACTTGCTTTATCTTTCGACTTTGACTTAGCATTGTGGAAGCCACAAAGAGATTAGAGTTTTCCCCCTCCGATGGAAACAAATACGACTTTTGGGGATTAGCTTCCCCCGTTGATGGATACAAAAGCTGCTTTCAGGGGCTCGGTTCCCCCTCCAATGAATACAAAGGCCGCTTTCTTAAAAAGTGGGATTGGAGACAAGTTGGAATCCATTGAAGCGGAACAAGGAGCGTTTCCAGTGAACTCTCCTTTTGACTGCGGAGAGATTTGAAACGGGCGCATCACACTTGTGCCCTCCCTCCCTCCTTGACTTGTAACCGACTATAGCGTTTTTTTTTTTTTTTTTTTTTTTTTTTTTGCAAGGAGAAACCAAAAAGGGATTTCGGGTGCACATTTTTTTGGGGGGTGGCGGGGGCAGGGGCAGGGAGGGAGGGAGGGCTTCTATGCGTCATATGTTCATAAAAACCTATGCATGCATAAATGCCTTGTCAGTGACTCCTTCACATATTGGATGTGTCCAAGGCACTTTTCCTGTGGCCTATCTTTTGTAAAAGATAACAAGCCTGAGATGGCAGATAAGCCATCTGCAGATGGTTTGAGTAAGGAAGGAGACTAAACTGGCATTAGTTTCTTTAGTGGTCTCTCCTGCCCGAGCAAAGTAAGTAGTCAGTGAGATGTCACTCAGTGGTGACAAGCTAAGTATCACTACTAAGGGAGCTTACCTTAAGAAATTAATTTTGTAACAGTGATGTTTCATGAGCACATATTTCTTTCCAGACGAACTCCCACCGCCATACACGCCACAGTTTGCTGCCCAGGGCAACATCGTTCCATGTCGTGTGTGTGGATATGTGATTGACATCAGCGGCCGACGGGACCAGCATGTTGTAAAATGCTCGCGCTGCAGCGAGGCCACGGTATGAGCTACGAAGAAAATGGCAATTCTGACCATTTTTCTTTGAAATGATCATTGATAATTTCACCACTCCCATAAACTGTGCATGGAGTAGCTACTATTCAGGAAGTAGTGGCTCTTTACTAGGGTTGCATGTTTTCAGTATATACAGGGTGACCCTGAAAAAAAATTTACAGCGTTTCTTTCACTGCAGAAATAAACTATGCATCGCCGAACCCTCATTCTCCGTCCCAAAGTTAGCGCTAGCGGTCCAAACCAGATGCCGAAGTTTCAGCACAAACCAATATTTTATTCAGAAGTTGTATGTGATTTTCTGAAAATTTCAATGGGAAAATGGTGGTCGACGTAGCTGTCGAATACTTGGAGATCTGTGGTGCCAGAAACCAAAAATGGGCCAAACATGGGCCCCTTTTTTCTATTCAAATTTTCAGTAAATTGCAACTTTTTAATAAAATATTGGTTTGTGCTGAAACGTTGGCACCAGGTTCGGACCTCTAGCGCTACCTTTCGGCGGTGAACGAGCGTTCGGCGATGCATAGTTGATTTTAACAGTAAAAAAAAGCAAACATGTAATTTCTTTTGGGGGGGGGGGGGGGGGGGGGGGAGGCACTCTGTACTGATTAGCCCTGAAAGGTATTCAAGTGGTTTTATCAAAATCGGGAGAAAACGAAAAACCCCGAATTGGTGCTCTCCTTGAATAAGAAAAGGCCGAGCTTCCCGAGAAGAAATAATTATCTATAGCTGTGTTTTGTGTTGACCCAGAACACAACCCCCACTGAACTATCCACAAGGTTGCTTTAGGTACCACACCCCTTCTGTCGTTTCCATCTTGTTTTCCATATATTCGGGTTGTGCGTGTGTTCCCTGGAGGTCGGAGGACCCCATACCCTTGTCTTGTTTTCTTCAATGCAAGAACCGATGACGGCAATTTTCTCCCCGACACCAAAAGTGGGAAATAATAAATCGCCAAAAATCTAAAAAAGAAAGGAAGAAGAAACTGAAACCTACTCATGACTTGTGAATCGGCGGAGATGATGGAGGACCCGTTTGTAGTAAGGGGAAGGGAAAGGTATAGTTTAATTATTGTGACTGATTTAATAAATAAATATAACTAAGAGCTAGGGAGAAGTAGACTTCTCTCATTGACAATCACACTAGAAAACTCGCCCGAAAATTGGAACGTTTCTTCTCAATCTGAAAAAGGACAGCTTTTATTGCCGGGCTTGACCGATGAGGCAGGTCTTCGTGAACCCCCATTTGGAGAACCACTGGCCTAGAGAGTGCAAGTTGCGCTCCATTTCAGGTGGAAGTCAATTTATTCTCACATAAATCTAATTTCATACATATGTATGAAAAAATAATAAAGACTGAACAATTTGTGTTTTTTTTTAAAGGTGAAACCATGTGAACGTACCAAGTGTAGTGATGCTTTTCATTTTCACGATGTGGATGTGGCTCGTGTTTGAAAGGCTGCATTAATTGCCAGAAAATATTTAGGGAGTGCTTGTGGGGGTTTAGAAGTAAAGTGAATGAAATGCCAGAAGATGACCCTTTTCAAAAGTTCATCAAGGAACATTGGCAGTCGCCATTGATTGGACACGAAGCGTGCGATTGGATCAAAGTTCTAGTGTTGGGAAGTACTTTAAGTTCATTCTACTTAAAGTACTACTTGAAGTAGGTTTAGGAAACTTGTAACTACTTGAAGTAGGTTTAGGAAACTTGTACTTTACTTGAAGTACATTATCTGAGTATGTACTTGTACTTTACTTCAAATATTTTTTTCTGGTACTTTCCGAGGAAAGTACAATTCTCGATTTTAAACTACATTCCCCAAATTTTGTTTTGTTAAATTTGTATCACAAAATAATTCTTTGTCGACTCCGAAGAAATACTGGGAGGGATATTCTACTCTCATCAGAAACGTGAGCAGACGACGCATCGCTCCGTTTGTTCTGGGGGCGGCTTTCCCATAGCTTTTTGAACTCTCGCTACTTCTCGGTCGGTCAGAGCAAGGGAGGAGGTTTAAAATATTAGGAGTGCAAAATTAATCGTAACATAGCACCTGAGACTGTGGTGCGGAAAAATTAAACTTTCAATGCGAAGAAAAAGACAACAGGGGAGAACGTCCCAATGTTTTGAGACATTCTCTTTTGTCTTTTCGTTCCACTTGAAAGTTTCTTAATTTTTTCGCACCCCAATCTCAGGTGTCACATTATGATTATCACCAGCTCGCTTGCACACTCGCTTGCGGAAGCTACGGGCTGACGTCATGCTCTCTCCTAGTACATTTAACCACCTTGGGTGCAACAATCCAGTGCAAGCGGTGCCAAATTCAGAAGAGGGACTTCTGAATTTGGCTTCATTCCTGAAAATAACTACTCTGTGGCTACTTGACTTTATCAAATATTCACTGCTGTTTAGGCATTACCCCTCGGCAATGCATACCTGGGCCCGTTCGCTCGAAGCTGGTTAACTCTAACTGCAGTTAGAAGTTAACCGCATTTCCCTACGAGGGGGAATTTTAGGTCACGTGACCGGCAGATTAAAGGCGGCGGGGAAACATGGCGGTGGCTCGGTGAGTGAGTGCTGCTCGCTTTGAAACTAATATGTTGTTGTAGCTGCAATAGCAGGCGCGTTAGTCAGCAATGAATGGTGCAGGAGGCTTTTGCTTTGCCTTACCTCACTTAAATCGCAAAGCATGAGCAATGACCTCGCCGCATTTTTTAGACACTCTTGCGATTCTGGCCGTTCCTAAGCCTAAATGAACGCGGTAATTGTCGACATGGCAACGTCTTTGGAAAGTGAATTGCCTTGGCGGGGTATTGATAGCACACAAAAGTAGACAGCGTCCAAATAGACCATTTGCTGAATTTCCCAAGCACCGAGGTGCATGCTACGAGTGTAGTTACACGCGCTGCACGTGCTGGCGTCTGCAGTAGTAACTATTCGAAAGAAAAAAGCCTAAACCAATTTTGCCTTGCACACGCATTCCTCAAAGCCTTAATATGATTATTTACTTCGAGTCTTTTATAAGGGGAAGGCCAGCACGCGCAGACTGTAGAATTACACTTCCAGCGTTCTCCTCGATGCTTGGGTAATTTACTAATAGGTCTATTTTCACTGGAGCCGAATTACAGTTTTTTCAACTTAAGATGGTGTTATATACAGTTCTTACATGCTGGCCAACCGTGCTGCCAGTGTACCGCCCGCCTTTCACTGCTCACTTCTTCCTTATCATTTCTAGGACTGAACTTCGTCGTCCTCTTTTGAAACCTGAAGGAAATTTCAACGAGGCTTATCTTCAATTCAGACAGCCATGCATTTAGGAATTTTCCAGACAAGGGTTAATTTAGTTTTACCTTACCGATTATCTGTACCACGAGCCATAAAAATTGTTTCTTAAGCTCAAATGTATGCCCCGCTGCGTAACGAAAACCCGGTGCGCGCATTTTCGGGTCTCCCTCATTTCGGGAACCTTTCCACGGAAGCCACTTATATTCGCTACAGCCAGTAGGTGACACCAGCTACCACCCCATAATAAAACACAAAGCTATCGCTCATCCAGCCTTCGTAAAGCTTGGCTAGGTACTTGTAGGTACCTAGTAGGGAAGGGCGGTTAACTTTTAACCACGGTTAAAGTTAACCGGCTTCGAGCAAACGGGCCCAGTAAAAAAAATCGCTGTATAGGGGAATAAAAGGACATCATGAAAGATTGTGTTAAAATACTTGTACTTTACTTTGAAAGTACATTGTATTTATAGTACTTTACTTCAAATACATTGCACTCAATGTACTTCTACTTTACTTGAAGTACATCACGTCTCATTTACTTTGTACTTTACTTGAAGTACCTTTTAAGTGTACTTTACCCAACACTGCCGAGTTCACGTCGAACGCTGACGCAACCCTCGTGTCCGATGCATGCTCAGGGTATGTGCTTAAGCAATGGCGGACTCGTTGCCACTGCAGCCACTAGATGGCGCACAGTAGGCTCGTTCCATTTACCTGCACCTACTGCACCGGTGCAGAAAAGTGTAGGGCGGTGTACTTCCGGTCGTATCACAATACACATACCGGAAGTAGACCGTCCTACACTTTTATGCACCGGTGCAGCAGGTGTGGGTAAATCGAACGAGCCTACTTTCGAAAAGTGTCTCTTGAGGCCTAAGCTGGTTTTGAAGTCTTTGTGTTCTGTTGTTCCACAGCCCATTCGTCATGCACCTCCAGGCAAGAAGTATGTACGGTGTCCTTGCAACTGTCTCCTCATTTGCAATGTGACTTCGCAAAGAATAGGCTGCCCAAGGCCAAACTGGTGAGTTGCATGCGAGGCTCTCTTTTATGGCCGGGAAAGGTGTGTTGGGTTCGACAGGGTGTTTCTTTTTAAGCTTAACAGATTTAACAGAAAAAAAAAAAAAAAAAAAAAAAAAGATGTGAGAGCTACTCTAATACGGTTTGTGCAGGCGAGTTATATGGCCAGGGGGACATAGTGTAGGGGGCTAACCGTAACGATCACTCAGCTAATTAACTCATAAAATTTGATGTTTTAAATATTGAAAATAAACATATGATTGTAATTAGAAACTTGCCGAGTGCCATCGAAAACCACTAAATCAGTCAATATTAGAAAGACTTGGAGCACGTGGGCAAACTTGTACGGTACGTGTTACAAGTAATGGATTGTAATCGATTACATTTTAGCGTAATTTTGTAACGCTTCAATTACTTTTTTTAAAGGGTCCCTGCAAGGACTTTCTGACTGGTTTTTAATTTCCACCGAACCTGAGCCCACTGAACGTAGTAACTTAATGAAACTTTTCTTGAATTTCGCTTTATTTTAAAAGTTATAGGCAGATCAAAATTACAAAAACATGCAAAAACTAACCTCCTTCATGACGTCCTTGGTCGCTTGAGTGGCCGTGAACTAGACGAGGGGTAGTGAGCTCATCAAGCGCTCACGGCTGCCACACTCTGTGTCGACGGCGCGAGAGGGCGCCACTAAGGCATGTTTTGGGAACGCTGTATAAAGCCGGCAGCCAGGGCGGCTCGCATTGCATTTTCTGTGCGATTAAACACTAATTCGGCATGACACTTGATTGGCCACAAATGACAGCAAACACGGGGTAAAGATCAATTCAGAATGGGAGCCACTTCGCGCTGCCATACTGCAAAAAGGCCAAACCGCAAGCCAAAGATGCTCGCCGAAGGCCTTGGGAACGCTCTGAACTGGTCGGATCCTCAAGTCCGTACGACCGCAGCACCGCCGCATACATCCGGAACCTTTCTACGCTCGCCGCTCGTTGGCGCCTGATCCCACTACACCTTTCTAGTATGCGCCACCTTTTCCACCGCTTGGTGGCGGGTATGTCGACGGGTTATTTCTTGTTTCCGTACTTTCTAAACTGCTTCTTTTTTTTTTTTCAGTTATAAAATAGTGAACAAAAACTAGTTTTATAAATAACTGAAACGGTTCGCTCCACTTATATTTTGTATTTCGACTAAAAAAAAAGCTTTTAGCGGCTCTGACCAGTGGTAAGCCGAGGACCTAAGATGTCACATATCGCGCGCTTTCAGCACCGCAGGTCGCCCCCGTAGGTGGAGGAGGTTTGCGTGTCATCCGGTTAAAATATGACGCACTGATATGTAGTTAATCCCTCCGTGCCCGCTGGCTTGCCCGAACCCCGAGGGACGTGGAAACCGCAAAAAAAGATAGACGCTTATATAGGATTGCAGGGCCCCTTTAAGGAGTGAAAATCCTTGTAATTGAATTACTTTTTTGCTCTAATCGATTACAAAATTACCCATTACAATTTTTCTCAATTTCTTTCTTTTTTTTTTTTTTTTTGTATGGGGGGAGGGGGTAGATGTGCTGGAGTCGGTCAGCGTTGGAGTTTTTTTCTTTTTCGAAGCCGGGACCTCAAGAAATAGTAGGCCACTTCACTATGCTTCGTTTCCTGGGTACATTTCTTTTTTTTTTTTTTTTTATATACACTGGAGACTACGGGGTATGAAAAATGACCTTATTTAAATGCACTCTTTTTATTAATTTTTTTCCACGAGAGGGTTTGGGTGTGTTGGCGTCACTCACTCAGCTCTAAACAAAAACAATCAAGGCTTTTTTTTTTTTTTTTTTTCTTCTTTCTCGAAGCATTTGAGCACTAGAGCCCAAGGATTTTGCTACCGTAATAAAAAAAAAAAGTTGAATGAAAGTAACGTGGGAAGTAATCGATTACTTTAGAATAATTTTTCAATTACTTTTTTGAGGCTGTACTGTAATTGTAATCGGTTATTTTTTACAGTGAAGTAATTGTAATCGGTTACTTTCTATCAGTAACGTGTACATGTCTGCACATGGGAAGCACAGTGGACAGCTAAAGTTACTACTCGTGCAGCAGAAGCAAGGCTACCAGTGCGATAACGCACCCGCGCGGTTTTGCCATTTCTTATGTGCGTTTTCACGCCCCAGGCTTGTGCCTATTACACGAGTGATAACTTTAGCGGACTCCCGCACTTCCCACGTTTTCAATGATGCTCTGCAAGTTTCTAATTGGAACTACGTAAAGTTCTGAAAGAACGCCCGCCCCCTAAAGATCGCCCATCCTGTTTTTCTGGCTAAATATCTGTAACATAAAAATTCCAAAACATCGCCCACCCCCCGATTTCCGTCGGAAGGGAATCACATCTACCGTGCGATCTGCTGTACCTGTACATCTGATAGCGAGTCGTAGCGGGTTTCCGCGTTTTTGTCCGCGATCTGCGCGCGCGATATCGGCTCCCGTAATACGCGAGTTGTTCCCGCGTGTATATTGCATCGTGAAATATGAATCTGCTGCATCCGCCATCTATGGTATCCGTTCCCGTGATATGAGACTTTGTAACGGATTCCTGCGTTTTTGTCCGCGACCTGCGCGTGCGATATCGATTCCCGTAACACGCTAGTTGGTCCCACGTGTATATTACATCATGAAATACGATTCCGCTGCATTCGCATCTGTTAATTTTTGATAATGTTTTCACCATTTATTTCTTCATTTTGGGTGGGGCAGTCTTTCCGAATTTTAGTGTCTTTCTTACTAATTAAAAAGTTAAAAAATTTTAGTTAAATAGTTTATTGTGCTGATTAACCCCTTATATAATGTCCCCTTTTCCGTAAACTCACCTATACAAACCGCATTAGTGTAGCTTTCACGGCTTTTTAGAGCGCAGCTCTTAGGTGCTCGTTTCCGGATTTTGCGGCATCAGCGTCGCCGTCGGCGTAACCGGCCCGCTAAATTTAGCGGGAAAATTGTTGTCACGTGACCTCAACACTAATTCAATTCCCCACTGTATTTAGCAGGGAAATTCAGTTTCTGCGCTAGATTTAGCGGACAAATTCAGTTTCTCCGCTAGATTTTGCAGGAAAATTGGCGTCGCGCGACCTCAACACCAATTCAATTCCCCGCTTAGTGAAGTTTTTTTACTAAGCATCAATTTTCCCACTAAATCTAGCAAGAAAATTCCTACTAAGCATCAATTTTCCCACTAAATCTAGCGGTAAAATTCCCCAGCAGGGAATTTGTCTGCTGGGGAATTTTCTCAAACGACCGAACAAAAGCGAACGAGCGAACCAAAGCTTTTCTATTGTTAGAGATCAGTAAAGAATGATTGGTGCTTGAATATTCGTTCGTTTGCTCATTCGCAAACGAGCAAACAAAAGCTTATTTATAAGTTCTGTTGTTAGAGATCAGTAAAGAATGATTGGTGCTTGGATAGCAAGACCAAAGCCATAACTAAATGTTGGTATACGAGAAATTATTTTTTTCTAACAACCTGTCACCGTGAATTTGGATTGGTTCATTCTGAGTGGAGAGGCCAAAAACCAACTCCACGCTGGCACACAGACCCAAGATGGCGGCACACTGCCCAAAAAGAGGAAGCTTCGGTACTCTGTAACCTATCTAGTGACTTTAAACTGGATGCTTGAGCTAAAAACATGCATCTGCATTTTTTTTTTTTTTTTTTTTGCAGCCACCGAATTATTAATTTGGCTCCAAGTACCACTAGCATTCCCCAGGCTCCCCTCCCTGGACTTTGCCGTGTTTCATGCGTCCATTGTCAGCAGAACTTCCTGGTGAGTCTGTTCATCTGTTTAGCTTTTCTTTCTTGAAGTCTTTATTTTGTGCAAGAGCATTGTGACCACTAAATCTGATTACTTGCTGGGGCATTACAACATTTGAATAAAATCAAGAATTTAAGATCAAAGGTCTATAAGGCACTCGAGACTAGATCCCAAATTGAGAAACCTCATTTTCGATGGTACAGAACTCCCTGACCATAAATGTATGCATACCTTTACAGCAAATGCAAAACTGCCATGCTTGCAGTGTGTGGCTGAATTAATCAAGGTGGGAACAGAAAAATTCTAGACCTGGCGGAATTCTGGCTTGGAATACTAAACGTAACAAATATATATACATATAAATAATTTATTGAGGTTTTGCATCAATACCATTCAGATAAATCAGTTTTAAACTAAGTACCGTGTAGAAATCGGCCCACATGGTTTAAAAAAAGTTTAACAGTTAAACCATGTTAAAGAACGAGCCATGGAGACCAGAGATTAAGCTTTCAACTGCCAGACTTGTTAAATCAATACCCCATTTTACTTATGGAGGGGTCAATACAAAGTAGGGAAAACGGGTTTTGAGTAATTTCGAAATGTTGGTATATGTAATTAGTGTCTCTGCTTTAGAATCTGTGAACTTATTTTTTAAACTCTCTGCTTCTTAGCTTTGTATGCATTTGTTTTCTAGCATGTATACTTTCACTTACATGCATCGCTATGCTGCTGTAGATGAATGGGTGGCATGGCATTCGGACATCTTTTGCCTTTTGCCGTGTCCTCCAAGATAATATTTGTTTTAAATAAATTGTCTCAAGTGAATGACTAAATGAATGATTGTGTGAAACAACCTGTAGCATTATCCACCTGGCAAGGTAATTCGGGAATCACGTACTAGTATACGCCAGGTTGGATAGAAACAGTGCAAAGCAGAAAAGAGGCTGAGAGTTTGGTGCTGAAGTTCTTGGGTATGTTTATGGGTCATCTAGCTTATTGGTCTACTTTTAAATTAGAATTTTGTTGCTGTATTGTTGAATAAGTACTAATTCCTGGCGTGCTTATGGTGCAGTTCAACACGCTGAACAATGCCTTGTCCCGCTGCCCACATTGCAGAAGAGTGTATGTATTCTCTTTTCTCATTTTTGAACTTAGTTTCTGTGTAATTTTGTACAAGCATTTTCAAAATGTGCAACGACAGTTTTCCCAAACCTGGTATTTCAATAGGTGTGTACTGACTTTGGGTGGACTGTGTTTATGTAAATGTAGGGCTGAGCAATTGATTGATTAACCAACCAATTAATCAATTAATGCTTTAATCACAATTAATTTTTTAGCCGGTTAATCGGTAAAATTTTATTGAACCAAAGTAGTGAAAAGTAAACGTTTACACCAAGCAGACGTGGATGAGAACACCTAGGGTTCTAAACTCGTCAAACACAAAGTTGGGGCCAAAGTTCACGGAGAGCAGCGATTGGACTATCCCGACGATGACATCGCGCTTTTTTGGCCGGCATCCAATCGGCGCGCTTCGCGAACTTTCGGCTACAACTTTGTGTTTGACGAGTTTGGGGCCCCTAAATGATGAGCAAACTTTAGGTCAAAATTTAGCCTTAAGTAAACTGTAGGGGCAAGATTTTGTAACTCCCGAGAAGTGCATAAGGTTACATGTGTCCCGGCCACTCCAATGCCGCTCAAGTGTCCGTTTAGCGCTGCAGAGACTACTGTGAACAATCGGAGGAGGTTGCTCTTGTCAGGTAATGTCAACAAACCTCTCTGCCTCATGCAAATGAAGTGTAATAATCTGTGTATGTGAGTGCCTTTGAACTCTTCTTAACTACACATCAAGGTTGATTCATAATAAAAACTGTATATTTCACCCTTTAGGTTACCTCATATTCAGCAAATGCATAAACAAAAAAATATGTTAATTTCGACTTTAAAAAATATTATGCTTAATCGAATAATTGATTAAAGGGTGGCAATTAATCGGGTTAAAACTTTTAATCGACGCCCAGCCCTATGTAAATGGCATATTTTTACCCAATTGTCAGCTCGGTTTTTCCTCCTCCTCATTGGACTCCAAGCCAACACGCTGCAGATATGTGGAAATCTCTGCTGCAAGATTTTTGGCAGTAATTCGTACCGCGACTTTTACACTGAAAGAGAGGGTGCGGCTCTGTTAACGGGCGACTTAAAACAAAAGCAAGCTTTTCTGTTTGTTTTATTCAAAACCTGAGGGTTTTCTGTATAGGCTACTGGATAGAATACATCAACTTCACAGCATTTCTCCCCATTGCCTCAAAAATAAAACATAAAAGTTGGATCTGAAGAATTACTTTTGTTTAGCTCCTCCGGAAATATTGACATCAATGCACCATTTCCCCTCTCGTTGGGAGCTCTTCTCTTCCCACATAAGCAGTGGAGCAGAGACCGTGTGAAGTGTGACATTGTGTATACATCTCTCCTGTCGTGACAACCACTCATCGCATAAAATGTGATCAGTGGAATTTTCCGCTTTGGAGAGCAACTTTCAGTTTTAATTCTCATTGCTTTCATTCGTAATTCAATGAGATTATTGATATGATGCAAATATGTTTGCTGTGTCAGAACCACTGCTTAAAAGTGTTCTAAAGTATTTTTCAGTATCGTCTTTTTATATCATGAACTCGGATCTACTTGCCCTAAGCATCCTAGAAAACCCAAAATTACAGTCGTGGGACTTTTTTCCCTGCGAAAAACGTGACCAAATGTTGTGGCATGCCCCTTTTCCCGAGATATATCCCAGAAAAGGACGACAGGCCACGCATGGTTATTGTTATGAATTTTGTAGAACTTTTGGGGCCTATAGACTGGATTATTGCCTTGAAAAGACACACTCCAGATCTACTTTAGTCCACATTTAAAACTTTTGGCCCTCTAAGTGCTGGACCAGATTATATCTCAAAAGTAGGTTGAAGCAGAATTGATGCGGTGGATTATGGCAGGATCCCACAATCCAAACGACTGACGTGCTTCTCTCATGTGTCCAATGCAGGTCTTCGGTGGGGCCCCAGTTTGCACGAACCCGAGGAATCCTTTCTCTTGTCCTTGCTCTCGTGTTTTTGGCCATTACGCTTGGAGTTGCGGTGAGTTCCTGATTCGTTTTTTATTATGTTATTGTAAAATCAGCAAGCGAAAATTATGCTAAAATTAACATTCAAGTATACCTGCACCGCTGGCATCACTTTTTCATTGCTGCCTGCAGGGACTTTCAGTTAAAACACGAGTACAAAACTTGTAAATTCAATAACTTTTTGAAAGAATGTTATATTGGCGTACTATTTGGGAAAGTATTCCAGCGACGCTTGTTCGTGTGTTTAGCAAATTTTCAGGGAAATTTGGGACCATGAAAACACTGGGTACCCCTTTAAAAAGACACTGGACACCCCCCAAAAATGGTTTTTTTTTTTAGTTTTTGTTAGGCGATTCATTTTGGTGTCGGAAGACTACCCAATCAATATTTTGCTACAGTGTCGCGCAAGTAAAAAAACTCAACTGCTCGACACCGAAATTGAACTGGAGAGGAAGAAGAAATATAGAGGAGAAAGTTGCTGGAAGTCACAAGGCTGTGCAGGATTTTTTTTTTTTTTTTTTTTTTTTTTCAATCGACGTATTAGGAACGTTTTAGAAACCACAAAAAAATGGGTGTTTTCTTTTTCAGTCTATTTTTAGTATTGAGTGTGTGCCTTCGATGACCCACGACTTTGATTATCTTTGGTAGTTGTGTCTAAACCATAGAAACTGGCACATGCCCACGGAGAAGTGGAGTGCAACTCAAACCGGCCAGTTCTCGATTGGCGGTTTTCGGGCAGAAAGAAAACTAATTTCGAGGCCGTAAATTGTGTTCTGGGTACAGTGTAGACCGCATATAACGTATGTCGCGGGAGTCGCGAAAATCCGCACTATAAGCGGTACGCGCTATAACCAAAACATCAATTTTTCAGGCCAAAATACATGCCATGAGACAACTTACCTTTGTAAAAGAATTTATTTTATGTTAGATGAAAAATAAAGCTTAGTTTGAGGAAAGTCTTTATTTCAACAGACTAGTACAGTTCTGTCTCAAGTGTGTCTCACATTTTGAAAGAAATGAGCGGCTTTTGCCTGGCGCAGCCTTTTAACAACGTCGCGGGTTGCGGACGGATGTTGCGAGCGTTCAGGATCGCTAACCCTAATCACTTTTCTCCGGAGATGAAAACGCGTGAAAATTTGCATCCTTCATACGGTAAGCGCTAGTTATACCTTGAACTTGAGCACACGCACGCCAAATAAGAAATCCGGGCGATGTTCGAGGACACAAATGCTTAGAAATCACCACTGTAGTCGAAGTAAACAAACACGACGACACGGGCGTTTCTGCCGTCTTGAAAGCGCCGCCACGACATCGCCGCACGCGTAGGTGGATCTTCCCTTCTAGTACGTGCTGGGTTATCATAGCGACACACAACGAAAATTCACAGTCAAGGATAGCGCTTTTACGCGGAACGATGAGATGAATGCTGTCTACGACAACGATCTCAACCGACGCCATGTTTGCGGATAGAAGCAGCCGGCCCGCGACCGGCATGCAACGCGCGCGAACACTTCTCCTCGACCTGCGATTGGTCTGTCGTTGCGGTTGTTTGTTTCCAACGCAGCGGAGGGACGCACGCACGTGAACGACACGTGCGTGCGTCCCTCCGTCGCTATGGCAACTAAGGCCTCTCTCTTCGCTTCTCCCCGCTCTCCCCGCTTCTTCAAACAACCTCCTTGCCCCACGAGTGCCGCTTGCGGCTCGCGCCGTCAGCGCCGTTATCTAGTGACGCACAGGGAAGCGTGCTCGCTGCTCCGGTCGGCGGCGCGGTCGGCGGCGCGGTCGGCGGGCTGTGCCAGAAACTGCACTATAACCGGTATTTCCCTTCGCGCGCCTGCATTTTAAGCGGTATGTAATTACATTGAGTTCTATGGGAGGTGAACCGGTAGTTTAAAAAAACCGTGTTATACCCTGTCGCGCACTATAAGCGGTTACGTTGTAAGTGGTCTATACTGTAGTTGGGCTCTCTGTCACGTACAAATAAAAACCTAGGCGAGCATAAATACCCTGTCAGTGTCCCTTTTAGATGGAGAGAGTGGAAGGCTTTGCAGGAGGAGCTTGCCCTGCTTTTCTTAATGTGGAATGGGCTATACAGGGTGAGCAGAAAATACTGTCCCGTGAAAAAACAGCCATAACTTTTCACTCGGATAACAAGAAAACCCGTTTTATGCACCATTCGAAAGAGCAGAAAATTCTGCACAATACAATGAGCTCCCGGTAGGATTTGGCACTAATTTTCGCCCCCTTTGGGGACATAAACCAGTTTAGTCTTGCCCAATCCGGGTATCTCGGCCGAGACCATGACTGACTTCAGAAAATGGACAATTTCTGCGTTGACCATGTGCAGAGCTCCTTTGGAGAGCAGTTCGCATCAATTCTGTGAATTCGGTGCAGTTTGACTGTAAAGATCTTCTCGTCTGTGAAGAGAATCCATTGCAGGGTGTCGCTGCGGCTCAGTCTTAATTTTCTTGCACTTTTTCAGTCTTGGTACTTTGTTCTGGTCCGTGACGAACTGTCCTTTCACAAATTTGTAGAAGACGAGTTGGAGGCCTTTTCTGATAAGCTCCCGCATGGTTCCGTAGCCAACTCTGCGCTCCTGGGCCAGTTTCCTGATGTTTCTTTTGGGATTTCACTGGATTTTCTTCTTGAAAATCCAGTGAAATCCCCAAATCACTGTCTTCCGTTCAGTTGCCAGTCCTTAATCGCTCCAGTCTCTTGGAAACGTTAGACGACGCGACAGACTTGTGTTCGGTCGAAATTCAGGAGCCTGGTGATGTCTGGAATTAGCATTCCCCGCTTGTGATGCGTGATAATGTCTACACAGTCTTCTTCGGATACCATTATTCCTGAAAATTTAGAACAAAAGTGCAGCGAAAACAATTCTAAAACCAAAAAACACGAGAAACAAGAATAAAACATAAGCAGCGAGCGAAAATGTGAGAAAATAAAAAGAAATCAATGTTTCAAGCACGGGACAGTATTTTCTGATTACTCTGTAGGTAGGATTCCGTGTTTTCTGATAAGTCTGAAAAACGCCCACCCGTGATATTTTCGTCAATTTGGATTTAGTCACCGGCTAATGTTTTCGGACTCGGAGGGGACCCTGAATTGTCTAAATATTCAAGTGGTCCGAAAAATCGATTTCAGCCCAAAATATTAAATTTCCACGCATATTCCGCTGTGTATTGGCCACTTTCCACTTGCTTAATGTCAATTTTAAGTTCTCTTGCAACTTTCGCTTTTGTTCACTTTTCACTTGTTTGTTGATCTCTTTGATCACGGTGCTGCGCTTTGTCGCCGCCTTCGTTGGCGCAACCAGTGAAGTTGAAGTTGGTGCCATTTGGCACTATTTGGAGACGTTTAGTCAAGCAAGCTCGCTTCAATACTAAGCCTATAGGCAAAAAAAACCTTTGCGCTCAAAAACCAGAACGGCAGACGGCCGCTCTTCTCGCGGTCGCACTCGAAAAATACGAACCGCGAGAAGAACTGGAGGTGGCAAAGGAATGGTCAGGCGGTGGCCATGTTGGCTATAGCGGAACCGGAAAACCCAACTATAGCCTCAACCCAGCTTGTTTATTGCGTAGGATGTGGTATTGAGGCTACAGGGCAAAATCAAAACAACCAAAATGGTGGTCACTAAGCTTGCGGCGCTATCGTGGCGGCTGTTTTGTGGCTGTAAACTAGGAAATTTTACAAATTATGTCCGAAATATAGAGCAATAAGCTTTATGGCATCCGAAATTTCACTCAATGTTATACATTAACTCTATGGGGTGAGTGACAGTTTGGCGAAAGCATCCGAATAATCAGACGTGTCCGAAAAATCGGCGTCCAAAACATCTGTCGGCGACTGTATCCGATAAACTCAGAATATTGATGTCCCAATGCAAAAAAATAAAGAGACAGTATTCTGCAATTAAGTTTGGTCAGTGCACAGGGTGAGTGTCCTGAGAAAATGCCACCCCAGTTTCCTTTCAAATATCGGATCATTGACAAAAGGGGTCTTAACCGTTTATTTTGGCAAGCTTTGTTCAGGACTTCTGGGTCACGACAAGTGCCAGTGTTGCAGTTTCCAGTTTGGATCATACTATTTTTGCTATTTGGAGGAAGGAGGGGTTGTGTTTTGGTAACAGTGGAAAGTTATGATCCATAGAGATTTCGTAGAAGGCGGGAGAGGAGGGGGAGTAATGGAAGTTTCTAAATAACACCCTTTACCACTTCACGCTACGCATCCGCAGGGTAGAGGGCGATGGAATAGATTGGGATAAAATGAGCTGCACGGCGACTACCTTTGGGAGTTGAGTGATTTTAAGGTATTGACGTTTATCGAAGCAAAACTCGGTTGCAATTTGTGTCGTGGGAAAGATTAGCATATAGCTACTAACAAGGGCACTAAAGCCAAATCCAACTGAAGAAATATTATTTGATAAAAGTGTGTTACTTTAATCCTAGCACACATTTACAACCGGATTTCATTTATTTTTATTTTTGAAAAATGGGGAACGCTGCAAAATTAAACTCTCAATTTCAAAAAATTAAAAATCTAACAAAAAAAATAATTGATAAACTCTATTCGCGACTCCAGCAAAACGGACGCCACCAAGCGGGAAAACCGAGAACCAGCCGGAACAGGTCGCTTTGCGGCTCTCGGCGTCTCTGGTGGCTTTCGCGGACACGTGTTGTCGGCGCAGTGGCGAACAATGTAATTTGACGAAGGTCCGAAAATTTCTTCAGTTTGCTTGAGTGTTCATTAGTGTGGTGAAGCCTCAGTAGATTGTTTCCTTCCATCACGTGTTTGAAAGCCCGTTTGCTCCACAACACACGGTCGCGTGCTTTGGATATCTTGGATGGGGAGGAATCACGGAAAAACGTTTTGATTTCTTGTCTGTCTCGAATCACATTCAAAGTGACGACTACTTGGTAACTGAAAAGTGGTTTCTTTATAAGGATGTAGAACAGTGGACTGAGGACGACAGACGAGTTGTCTCACTGGAGGGAACGCCAATGTTGCAGTCAAGTGAATGTGAAGGTTCGATAGCTGCTTTTCTTGAGTTTGGTTGTGTTCGATTAGTTTCAAGTTTGAGCCACCCACGCCGGCCGGTGTGTTGGCTATTCATCTTGGCTGCTTTTTGCCAAAAAAGCCTCTGGATCACATTGTAGGAGTTGGGCTGATTTCGCAATTACTTGATTCCGGAAAACCTGCTCGCTGCATACGATTAATGAGGGAAATTGTCTGATTTCAAAAGGTGAGGGACGCGTCTCGCAAAGTTAGAAGCTGTCACGGCATTATGATCTATCGCACCTCCAATATTTATATTATACCCCGTCGAAGCCAGCAGCAATACTAGTGTACATCTACATTGCTCAGGTTGACCGGCCACAAAAAATACTTTTCTCCGTTCAGGATTCGAAGTCAAGTTCTATGCAGAGACGTTGTGCGTGCATCTCCGATGAAGACTCTCTTCAGTTTGTCTGCATTCGTCTCCGTGCTACCGGCTAGAACCATTTGGCTGAGCTTAAGTAGTATCTCTCTCTCCCAAATATTCTTTTATTCAGCAGTTCACTTAATAGCTGGTCAACTAAGCTCATATTTCAACCCGAAGAATATACTAATATTGCTTTAGTGGGACATAGTACGTAATATAATACAAACCCGCATATTCGTCAAAATGACTTCTCAATTGCTATTAAAACCTGAATTGAAATTCGAGTATCACCTGCTTAGTGGGGCGCCAGCGGGTTAACATGCTCCTTGGCTCAAGAAGCGCTTGCTTAATTTTCGTAATTTTCCTGCAGCCTGTGCTGTTGACCGAGCAGACGACTTGAGCTGTTTCTTAAACGCGGATATGCACAAAAGCTCAATTTCGCGGACAGATAAGCCGCATGGTCGAGGCACGCGAGTTAGCTAAAAATTACTCTCGGTGGAACAATTCTGTAGTCATCGCTGCTTACCGTCTCTTACCGTCTCTCCGGAGCCCATAGTTTCGGTTTTGAACGAAATCTCCAAAACAAAAGTTTGACATGAAAAGAACAAAAAACACCAGGAAAACAAAACTATGCTCGGCAAGTTTATGTGCACCGGCTACACTTAACCGTCGCAGTTCAAATACCTATAAAGTTGGCCATCAAGCAAAAGAAAATCTGTTAAATCGGATGCGCCACCCGTTCAGGCGGCCCGACCGAGCAGTTGCGACCTGGACCCAGCCACCATGTTTGTTTAGTGGTGGTGCCAGGGCCGTAACCAGGGGGGGGGTTAGGGGGTTCTGACCCCCCCCGAAATTTTTTTCTGGGTACGGCCCTGGTCGGTGCACTCGCAGCCAGCCAATTTTAATCTCCACCTCTGCGCACGCGCAGTGGCGCCGGTCGGCTACTGGGTACCAAACCGGGACCGGTTCTCCGGTTTGCTGTAACTCTCCATTATATGCCACCGATGCACATGATTCATAGGCGAAAATAAGACAACAGACACTTTCAAAATGGCCGCCGTTGTCCCCGAAAACCCCCCCCGAAATTTTTTTCTGGGTACGGCCCTGGGTGGTGCCCCCTATAGGTCGCTGGAGTTGGGAACCGTTTTGGTAAAAAGTAAACTCCCAAAAAACACCTTTTGAATTTGACGAAAAATAAACTCGGAAAATGTGGAACTTTAAGTATAGGTAATGATTCCTTTAAAATTCATAGTGTAGGTTTAAACATTGCGTTTTGCCATGTCCTTGCCAGGTAGCACATGGAGCCCAGCAAAGCAATGTGTGTTTGTATGCACAGTTGGAAAACCGTTGGGACCATAAGAATATTGTCATTAGGATCATAATCTGATGTATCAATGTATTGCCAGCGTTTCAGCAGATCGCAAAAGAAGCTTGCTTTTGAAGTCAATATTTTCAATACAAAAGCATTAACTGTCCCTTGGAGCAAAGCCGGCATGATCTGATGTCTGTAGCAGCAAAACACGGCACCTAAATACCCATTGGTGAGCAAAACAGCACCTAAATTCCCATTTTGGCTGAGCAAAATGACGCATAAATTCCCATTGACTGAGTGAAACGGCACATAAATTCCCATTGGCTGAGCAAAACTGCACATAAATTCTCATTAGCTGCAAAGCGGACGCGCCTCAGAAAAAATACCACACAAACACAGCAACGCAGGTGCCTCGTCACGGAAACCTATGGGGCGCTCAAGGTCAAGGTAAAATCACCTCAGAAATAAAACAAAGAAAAGCACAATGGTGCAGATGCATCGTCACGGAAGCTGTGGAGCCAGAGGGGTGCCGCGCCTGTGCAGTGGGGGAGCATGATGTGTAGGGGAAACGCTGCATGTTGTAATGGTTTTGCATTCCTCCACGTAAGCAGTCTTAAGTGTCATTTAATTTTTTTTCTTTTCTTTTCTTTCGAAGTGCTGCTTTAGCAACATTTTTATGAAATGGTCAAAGTATGAGATTTATGAAAAGTGAAAGGAGCAGTTTTTGACTGGAATCTTCTCTTCATTTGAACTGTGTCAGGTCACTCATTTTTCCAAATATTGAACCCTTACTTCCCTCCTGTTTTACAGTTGGGGACGTACCAGTATGCTTTTGAGAAGAAGGGAATATATGTTGTTTATGCTGGTAAGTAGCACTTTTCTTTACTTGATGTTGCCTAGCAAAATGGTATGGAGTTGAAGCATTCTTATTTCTATGTACCAAACAGGTCAGCGTACTGTGGCGCTAGGCTGAGGTATTTTTATGATGTTAAGTTTTCTGCTTATCATGACAGAGAAGTTATTTTGATGGGACTTTGTTTTTATTTCAGGTGGCTTCATTGCTTTCCTCCTGTTCTTGCTGAGGTCCCTCTATTACCTCACAATGAGGGTATCTCACATTGAAGGACCAGCATGAAGTCGAAGCCACATGGTTATGTGTCCTGATAGTTCCCAGATATCTATGTGCAAAATATATTACTTTGCTTATTGTCAGACCTCTTGGTCTGTGTTGAAACCCAGTATCATGTTTTACTTGTTTTGCCCCTTATCCCCAAGTGTATATATGATTTATGACTTGAGAGTTTGTTTTTTCTATTTTTTTAGGTTCCTCCTTGATCAAGTTTCACCTTAGTGCTGCTGTAAGAGCACAATATTGATATTCATTAACTTTCCTGCTTGCTTGCATGCATGCTGATACGTTTTTTGGACACAGCTGTTGGCTTAATGGTTGAAAGAACTTAAAAACGAATGTGTGCACTTGTGATTCCAACTGCCACGCCAAAGGCTAAAGCGCTATTTTGTGTTCTTAGTTCGTCCCCATATTCTCCATTCTTAAAATTTCAAAAGTGCCTACTGCAGTTCAGTATGTTATTTAATGGCTCTCTGCATTCTTAGAAATAATGTAGTCGACAGTTGGTCTTTCGCTTTGTTAAGAATGATTTAACTTGGTTCACTTAGAAAAGTACCCTGATCCATTTACCCTTTTGGCTTATTTCCACAGCATTAACATGATGGTATCCAAGGTTTACTATGGGGTAGTTATTTGAGTAAACCCTAGCCTGACCCTAGCTTTGAAACCCGCACAATTAATCATGCTTTTTTTATTATTGCTAGAGGAATGCATGGCATTATGGAATTCTGTGTATATGAATTTCAGGTGTTAAAAATTGTGCACTCCTTTTTTTTTTAAATATAATGTTATGGAAGCATACAAGGTCATAACTTGTTTTGATAACCAGCTTTGCAAGTTGTGTATTTTATTGGAGTTTGCTTATGCACTTGTGAAATGAGGACAAATGTGTGTGGCAGGTTCCTTTGTGTAGGCGACATCGACCTTCGATGGAGGTTTATCTGTCTCTTTTGTGGCAATATATGCACCTAAGGGCCTGCACACAATGGCGTTTTTTTCCCTTGTTTTTTTTTTAATTTTTTTTTAGGTTCGTTGCTATTTTTTAGTGTGTTACCAATAAAAGGTACCCCAAGCCATGTGCTACGTTACTTTTGACAAGCTAACAATACACTCTGAACCTGCGGTAGACTTCGTTTTTGCGGGCTTGATTTATTTGTGAATCTTTCATTTCAGTGATGGCGAAGAATCAAGTAGTGCTACAGTTAGCAATTTCACTACTTTTAAAGCTTGCTGTACAAGGCACTTTCTCGCTTTGGGCCATTCAAATTGCGTGGACCCCACATAGTTGTTAAAGCTTGAAAAGCCCTTAAAACAAGGCGATGTAAAAGACCATTTCCCCAATCAAAGGCCTGGGGAGCTGCCCCACCTCGCCGCAACCACCAACTGCCATCGTGCCACTCTGAAAAACGCGAATGAGGAAGAACTGATACCACACACTGGTTCGATCGGATGACCAGGTGCCACCAATGAGTCGTTGCGCTCGTCTGTCTTCTGCAAGAGCCAAAGAGTGACTAGCAATTCTGTAACAGAGCTACAGTGCCTTCTGGACGGCTCAGATAAAGCAAAATATTTGCAAGCCCTTTTTCCAAAATGGCGGTAAGGGTCAAAGATGAGTGCTCGTATACCAGTTGCTGGGACCTGTCTAGTGTGCTGGCTTACCGACACAAATCATTCCCGCTTTTATGAGGAAGCTAGGGTGTTATGCGAGCAAGTCGCTTCTTTATTCTGAAAACAAAACCAGTGTTTATCGTAATATCTACGCCGGGAGGCACGTTTTAATTCAGGAACGAAACCGAAACTAACTTCTATTTTGGATTTAATTTATCGAGGTGTTTATTTCGGTTTCTCTCCTACCTCAAGATGTGCCTCGCAGCGTAGTCATTATGCTAAAGAAATTGTTCGCAGAAACTATTTTGTGACAGGCATGACCGATCTAGGAACTTAAAAATATATTGGACAGTGACTTGTCCCTTTAAAGGGATACTTCAACGAAATTTGAAATATTCCCGTCGTGTTCAAAAATAGGTTGAATATGATCCACATTATCCGTAAATGACAATCACACGTTTGTATTTTGAGCCTGGTGGCTGTATTTTTCGTTATAAACGGCCCACTTTGGCAAGCGCTCGGAGAAGGCCCAGCGGAGACCACGTGACATCCAACGCAATCGTGACGTAGGTCGTCTCAAGACGACCAAAGCTACGGCGAGGCTGACGTCGAGAGGATGGCCTAGTCGTTCCAGCCACCGACGCGGCTGCTTTTGTACAAATTTAGAGTGATGGGTTAATCTTCTATAATCTTGTAGGGGGACAATAGCGACTTCTGCGACACACAAAAGGCATTCTCGGGAAGAGGGGAGTTCCTCCTGCCCCTCTCCTCTCGTCGTGGCCGGATTCGGGACAACCTCCGTCACTAGCTGCCAAGGTTGCTAGACGGGCATTACAAGCGAGGCGTTAGCGACATCCACCAGGTGCTCTTTGCTAATCGTTTAATTCGTTTTAAAATTCCTTTTCGTGACTTTTTTAACGAGATATTGGTATGTTCGATTTGATGGTGCTTTTTTGAACAGATATAGACCAAAAAATGAGCGCCGAAATTTCGTTGTAGTATCCCTTTAAAGACAGGGTCTTCCATGCACCTTAGAGGTAACAGAATATCATATTTGTTGAAATATTCAGCGCTGATATTTGTGTGCTCTTGCTGCCTTTTCTCACTCAGATAATTGTCATGTGAAATAATGAACTGCGGGCCCTTTAATCGGTTTTGAGGCATTTAGATGATTCATTGCTTTAGCATTATTCCCAACACAAGAATAACAGAATCAATGCAAATTTTACCAAATATCGCCACGGTTGACGAGTTTATACGTTCACAAAAGGTTAAAAAAAAAAAACGTTTCAAAAACCATTAAACGGTATCGGAGTCTGGCAACAGAGGTGTGTTTTTATGGCAACGTGTGACGCATAGGACTATATATAGTGGTTCAAGTCACCAGGCTCTATCTAAAATGGACCGCAAAAATAGACTCCTGCATGTAGCCATCTAAACTTTTCGTCGAAGGTGTATTTCACAGGTCGGTTTTTTCTTGTAAAATTGCAAAGCGTACTTCTCTTTCTGTAAAAAATAAAGCCAAGAAACTTGCCAGGGTCTACGGCGGGCGGCGACCCAGACAACCAAGTCCAGTAGCGGGGTGTGTTTGGCGTTCGTATTGATAGATGGCGTCGGGAGCAGCGTCTGAAGGTATCTGAAGGTGCAGCCGACTAGAGAACACCAGCGAAAGAAAGCAGACGACGCGAAGACGAAATCCGTTGGTAGCAAAAGCGCCGCCGTAATGCAGACGCGTTTTTACAGTGGAGCTGTTAAGGGCTAGTTTCCCCAGGATCGTGTCCCCCGCAAAGAAATGTCGACACAAAACTATGGTTGCCGCCGTCGCTCCTAGATGGCGGTAGCTGTCCAGAGTGTTGTGTTTGCCGGTTGTCCGCTTGCCGCCGTCGCTCTGAGTACGGCATTTCTTCGGAAGGAGAAGAGCGGGAACGGAACGAGCGGCGATGTGTGGAGCAGCGCGAATGGTTTCGCAACCGTTGCGAGGTCGCTATCGCCTCGCTTCAGATTCCCTTGCGAAAGAAGAGTTAGAGCACATCGCTCGCCTGGAAAGCCACCGCCGAGACCAGAAGCTACAGCTCCGCTGCTCTTCCTTCTTCACCAAAGTGGAAAGGTTGAATTTTTTTTTTTTTTTTTTACTTTAATTTAGCTTGTATTGTTCGCATTTATTTTTAACCGAAGGTACATTTCAAAAATATTATATTCATCTTAATAACCACGGTGGTCGCTAGGGGTCTATACCACATGTGCGAATGACATTTTAGCGAACAACGACATTTGAGCGAATGGACGTTTTAGCGAATAACCGGGGCGGGGCGCGCGTTAACCCATCCGCCGCGCTGCGCTTTACGCCGCTTCGCGGCGACAGTCTGCGGCAGCTCATTCCAAAATGTGAACTCATTTGGCCCACCCGAAAACGCCGCTTCGCGGCGTCCGACTATTCGCTAAAGTGTCATTCGGTGAAACGTGGGCGTTCGCTAAAACGTCATTCGATCAAGTGAGTGCCTCCCCGTCTGCACTGCTGCCCGTCGTAGACCCTGGCCAGTTTCTTGGCCTTATTGTTTTACAGAAAGAGAGCTACGCTTTGTAAGTTTACAAGAACCGACCTGTGAAATACACCTTTGACGAAAAGTTCAGATTGCTACGTTCAGGCGTCGATTTTCACGGTCCATTTTAGATCGAGCCTGGTGACTTGAACTACCCTATATATACATATTACATCCAGTGTTTATGAACATGTCACTTTTCATACGCTAAAAAGAAAACAAAATGAGACCCTTCTGTAAAGACTATGGTTAAGTGTTATATTCTTTTGTGATTGTGGCGTTTATGGGGCTTTACATTACGGCAATTTGTATTAAGAGTTTTTCAAACTCAAATATAATTTGTTGCTCATTATATCATTTCAAACATGCAAAGATCTATCGCAATCCAAAGATGGCAAATCATCATCACTGGTGCTCAGAGCCGGATTAAGGCATTTCGGGGCCCTGGGCTAAGGACGCTTCAGGGACCCTAATGATTATGATGATGGCAACGATGATGAGGATAATGGGTAAGGGCCACCCGGACTCAGCTTCTCGCGAAGTGGAATCATTTATTTATATATTTATTTATTCATATTACCCCTAAAGGCCCTCGTGAGAGGGTATTACATAGGGGGGGGGGGGGGGGGGGGTACATAAATCGTTCCAATAGGAACTAGTGTACAGTGAACAACATATGAGAATATCATGTGTGCATCCTTCGGCATAAACAATCGTGCACTTGCCTAGAGGGCCACCATTGTTCGTAAAACTAACGCTCCGAAATAGCCTCAAAATAAAAAGATTTACCATTCCCGTCTGGTTTAAACTAGGGAGCACTCCGGCCAGACCACCGCGGAGGCGGCATGCAGCTTTGTTCCCTTCCCCAGCAGCGTCAAAGGCCGCACTCTCAAAGTGTAAGCGCTGCTCAAAAACACGTGTTTTCGCGCACGAGACACGAGCCCGAGTAGGGTGAAGGGGGAGGTGTTTATGACATATCCCTTCCTGATAAAAAAAAAAGAAAAAGAAAAGAGGAGCGAAAACCCCAGATCGTGGGGCCCCTTGCGTGTTTTCTTCGTTTGCTCGAAGCCGCTTTCAAAAGAAAGCTGACAAGCACCTTCAGGGGCCGGTCACCCACCCAAAGGGCCGGCTTTGTACAGGGACAGGGGTGTACTACGCGAAGTGCGCGTTCCCTCTTCTCGAATGCTGCTGCAAAGCAACATCGCTTTCCAAAATATTTTTAAATTTCGTGTTTTTTTTTTTTGTTTTTTTTTTTTTTTCTCTACGAGCTGCATGGGGGCCCCCCGAGAGTCGGGGGCCCGGGGCTGCAGCCCCCTTAGCCCCTACCTTAATCCGGCCCTGCTGGTGCTAAATGCAGCATTCTTAACTAACGAGTTCGGAAATTAAATAGTCTAAAACCAATCAAATCATTCTAGCCAGCCATGAGAAATCCAGGTAAAATATTAACTGTGACAATCAGCAAAACTTCAGAATTCGCTGCCAATCCTTTTGGTCCAAACGCCCCCAAAAAACAAACTTAGTTTTTTTTTCTGTTTTTTTTTTTTTTTTTTTTTTTTTTTTTGACAAAATTATTTAGAACATTTACTTTCTTTAATTTTACGCGCCGCTGTTTTGCAAATCTCAGCCTTTCCAGTTCGAAGGATCGCACACCCGCTTTCACGTCTGCTCACTGCAGTACGTTTCATTGGCGTTGTAAAACCGGTGAAACAGTAGGGAAGTTTAGCGAACGCAAGCACTACGCGTTTGCGTTAGCGTTGCGTGTTCCACAGTGCGAGTGCGCGGAGCCCGAAATTGCGGTCTTGAATTGGCACATGGCAACGACGAACATGTGCAGCGTGGAACACGCAACTCTAACGGAAACGCAATACTGAAACTCTGTAGTAAGGTACAATCCCATACCGCCTCCAGCACAAAAATTGGAACACT